TTTTCCGCTATCTTTGCATTCTTTTCTCCAAACCTTCATCAAACATTGAGTTTTACCTACAAAATGAAATATAACACAAATTAGATAGTATTTTATCCAAAGAACAGTAAAATATCATCATTTAGGACCTCAAATAAGTGTAGAAACTATACTTATCACAAGTAAACACGATGTTATGCTTCTTTGAGTATTTTCAAAGTTAATATTTTAATCAAGTCCTTGGAGAACACAAAACAAATTGGCACTTAATGTACATTCTCGTTTATTAATCAAACTACTTGTGCAGTTAAGAAAGGTGATTCTTAATCCAAACAGTAGATGCAACCGAGTACAATAGAGAAGTGATGATAAAGTAAAGATTGACGATCAGTTTGGTCCCACTTCATCAACAAATTAAAAGAAGATACAAAGAGAGTTGTTCTTAAGCTCTTTTTTAATGTCCTTTTATTAATTTTGCGAAATTACAAAAATCAGATACTATTTTGTTTTTTATCAATTAATTAATGGATTGTTTTACCCGTGGCGTGGGGTCCTGTGAATGTTTTCATTTGAGATTTACCATGTTATATCAGATGTTCGCGTACCAACTAATTTATTAAATTTTACATTTCATTTAAACTATACTCACGAATACAGCAACAATCTAAATGTACCAATCAAGACCATTAGAAAGTCAATTGTCAAAACAGTGAGAAAAATGTCAACATGTTTTGCCAGTAGCCAGTACTGACTAACTGGATGATAAGTGGTTCGACCATAATCTTTAAGATGCGATTTTTATAGTTTTCTATATATAACTAGATATGGTTTATTACTATAACAATTACAACTTGTGTAGAATATATTATACATAATCCTAGATATTTTTCAGATTTATTTAATATGTGAATATAAGGTTAGATTAAATTATTATTGTGTTTCCTTATTTTAGTCTATTAACAAATTTAGAAAATCATTTTGTATATTTCTCTATATACTAAATATCTCACTATGTTTAATGATTATTATCGGGTAAGAATTAATTCTAATATTTGAATTAGTCATGAAATGAATTAAATTTTGAAATTTTTCTTTCTTTTTGCGTCCTAGCATGCAGGTGCTGCCGTTTTCGAGCAAGTACACACAACGTGACACTCAATTGAATATTTTCAAAACCAATATTTTCTTCAAAGTCCTTGAAGAGAACAAAATAAATTGGTGCTTAATGTACAATCTCATTTATTAATCAAGCTAGTTGGCTTAAAGTTAAAAATAGTGATTCTTAATACAAGTGGTAGTTACACCCGAGTACAATAGGGAAATGGTGATAAAGTCAAGACCGGTGAGTTTGATTCCACTTCATCAAGACGTCAAAGGAAAAAAAAAATAGAAATGAAGTTGTTTATAATTCTTTTGATTGTTCTTCTATTAATTTTACAAAATTATAAAAATCAGATACTATTATAATTTTGATCAATTAATTAATTGATTTTTTTACTCCAAGGCATGAGGGCCCGTGGATGTTTTCGTTCAAATTTTACCACGTTATATCTAGTGTTCGTTTAATAAGTAGTTTATTAAATTCTGCATTTCATTTAAATTGTACTTAGGAGCATGGCAACAATTTGGGTGTAATAGTCAACACCATTAGAAACTAATTATAGGAAGTTCTAACTGTTGTTATTCATAGATAAAAGTTAAGTTCAAATCAATTTTTAATTTACCTAGTTTTTAGAATTTACACTTTGTATCAGAGTGGGTACACCCTTTAGATCCTGACATAGATGGAGCACCCTTTAGACCTCATGTCCTAGATGGGACTAATTACTCCTATTTGAAAATCGGGATGTAGGTTTATGTCTAATCCCTTGATGAAAAAGCTTGACACTCTATCATCTATGGATATAAAGTATCCACTGTAACTGGAAATGAGAGATAGAAAAAGGTAAAAGAATGGGTTACTACAAATTTTAATCATACCAGTTGAAATTCAAAAGTTTTAAATGTTATTTTCTCTT